TTGCTATATATATATATATATATATATATATTGTGCCTCAAGTCATGACTTGTTGGTGGTGGTGTCATTGTAAATCTTTTAAATCAAGTGTCTGATCCAACCGTGATGTGGAGCTCTAAAATTTTATGCGCATGGTGAGAGCTCTTATCATGGGCCAAAAAAACATATGAAAATTTGATATTTAAGTCTTTGTGGTGGTGACAACTACTGTTGATTGCTTTCTTTGTCCAACAATCATCATTCTGGCCGCTGTTGTCTAGCCATCATTATCCAACAATCATCAGTAGCTCAATGTTATCTGATTATCTCCTATAATTTTCAGCTCTGATATAATTATGGGAGACCGAATTTTAGTACATTACTTTCTAAGCCCATTTTTTCTAGTCTAGAGGAAGAACAAAAATTAATGATTTTACCATACAGCGAATCATTTCATTTTTTGTTACGCCCTATGAATTTTTCTTTCCTTCTCATTTCATAGATTTTCTCATAGAAATTTTATTGTTTTATGTTCTTGTCTGTTTTATTTATTTGTGACAAGGAGTTTCAAATAAAATTTTGACTTACAACTCCTATTTTTAGACGGTTTCAATGGCTTCTAAAATAATAAAATAAGTCTCTATCTAAAAATTTTTGATACGTCGTCGATAAATTTTTTTCGTCTGACACGAATCTTGAGGTAATTTTTTTAGCAATAAACATTCAAGCTTCAATTAAGGATTATCTAGAGCTTCGATTATAGCAAACTTCTAGTCAAAAAGACCGGCTTGATGAGACGGGTCCAATGATATCAAAATTAGTCTAATTCGAGTAAAATTAAGCTCAGATCAAGTTCTTAAACCACACTTGGAAGTTTTTCACATATTTAGAAGAACAAACGAATGTTGAATATAGTAAGTTAATAGTTGAATCGAGCGTCTTGACAAGACGAATCCAACAAATTTAAGATTTCTTAATTTCGACGTAGTTATGGCACTCAAATGTCCATAAAACTTCGTTTGATCAAAGTAATCTCTCCGGACCATCTGATCAAAGTTGTTTATATTCCTGCATTGATTGTACCAATAACACTATAAATAGAGACTCACATCTCTCATAAGAGAGGTAGAGCTTGATGCTTGAGAACAACTTACAACTTTGAGAATGGGCTAAAGTCCAGCACCACTCCTGCCACAATCAACCACCACTTGTCACCGATCCCGATCGCCCACCTCCCACTTCTTATAATAAATTTATTCATGTATCAATCACAATCAATCACCACCTCTCATTTTTCACAAGTCGGTTATCTTTAGGACCATCACGGTTATGGCCCATTTAATATTTTTGCATGGGTCTAAATATCAGAACTATTATTCTGCCATTGTTATCAAGCCCATTTAACTCGTTTAGAGTTTATGCCTAAAAGTTATATTAAGTACTCTAATTTGTGTAGATCAAATTTACAAAATACTTTTTTGGTTTTAATAAAAAAAGTAATATTTACTTGCATACCACTCAATTCTTGTGGTTTTACGCACCTAAAACTTAAACCTTAATTTTTTGCATGCATGCCCCCTTAACTATTCATGAAAAGGTATATTTCATCTTTTAAAAGCTAAAATAGTGATATTTTTATACGATATGAAATATTTGGGTGGGTATAAATGTAAAAGCAAAAATTTAAGTAGTGGTCACCAATGTCTAATTTTTTTAAAAATATTAGACAAGAAAAGGATTCATTCAGCCAACCTCACTTAGTAAGATAAAGGCTTGTTGTTATTGTTGTATCGGGCAAAAAATATAACGAGGTGAGGAAATTGGAAGTTACAAATTTTAGGCGGGGCAATTGCCCACCCTAGACATAATTTGTTTTGCCACTGAATTTTGTCTATATATATATATATA